CCAGGCATGGTCCAGTATCGCCAGTTGCTTCCTTTCCCCTCTTTACCTCTGCCTTCACCCAACTCTGTGAGCTTTCACCTCTGTCCTAACCCCTTGCATTGTCTCCCTAGCTTTCTCTGAAGACAGAACACTGAATACAAACAAACAAAAAAAAATGGGGCCTATACAAGGTGGGGTCATCCCACTGCACAGATGGGTAAGCTGAGGTCCAGAGAAACTGCCCAGGGATACAGAATGGTACCCAACGGCCGAGAGCCATGCCCCGAGGGCCTGCCTCCTCCCCTGAGACTCTGCACTGGGTGTTCTGGACAGCAATGGAAGGAGGAGGAGCCCTCAGAGGGCATGGGAGATAAGCCGGGACCTGGGAGGATCATTAGTCAACAGCAGGGTTTGGCCCTGAGCCCACGGTCGTCCTAGAAGCAGATAATGAGGCTCCCGGGCCGGAGATCCAGAGTCAGGATCCCTGGTGGCCTCAGTTTCCCCTCCTGCATCACAGCCATTAGAATTGGCATAGGGTGGGCTCAGAGTAGCTTTTGCTGCTTGGTCTCTGTGCTGCCTGCGGGCAGTGAGGGTGGGAGGGGACAGCACATCTACCCGGATGCCACATCCGGCTACATCACCAGTCAAGGAGGTCCCCAGCCTCCCTATCTAGGCCAGAAGACTCAGGAAGCTGCCACAGATAGATGGCCTGAGCTTTAGGCAGGGACTGTCATGCCCTAAGCAGTGAGCGTATTCAAGCTCATGAGGTCCACTACCAGAGAAGGACAGCGAAGCAATCGACTTCTCGAGATGGGAAATACAAAGAGAGAGAATGAAGCATTACCCCGCCTTTTTCTGCACAGCAAGGGAGGGGGGTCTCTGTCTGAAGACATGACCCAGGCAATAGTGTGGAAGAAAGGATGAAATTCAGTCCCTTTTATTCTGAAGCCATTGAAGAATTAATGGACACACTGGGCTGTAGGGCAGAGATTGGGGAGTTTGAGACAGGAAGATGAATTCTAGGCTTGTCTGGGCTAGACCCTGTTTCAAGGGACTAATAAGGGCTAGGAATGTGGCTCACTGGCGAGTGCTTGCCTAACATGTAGGAAGCCTGGGTTGGATCCCCAGCACCAAATAATCCCGATGTGGTTTCTCACGCCCGGCATCCCAGAATTTGCGAGGTGGAGGAAAGACGGCCAGAAATTTCCACATGGCTGCATGCCAAGTTCTAGGCGGGATTCATATATGAGACCCTGTCTGAGAACCATTATACAATGGTCCCTTAACAGAGAGAAAGAGAGAGGGAGAGGGAAAGGGAGAGAGAGAGAGAGAGAGAGAGAGAGAGAGAGAGAGAGAGAGAGAGAGAGAGAAGAGGACAAGATGTGTCTTCTGCATGAATCTTTCCAAGCCACTGGGACAAATCCCGGCTTACAGAAGCGCAGGAGCCAGAGAACATGCCAAACGTCCCCATGAGGACACAGCCAGCAAAATCCACCCAGTGAGATATCCACATAACAAATGACCTAGTTTCTTCAACAAATAAATTGCAAGAGAAAATGAAAAGCAGCACAGGCCACTGAGCCACGGTTATGAAGGACTTTTCTCTTTGCAAACGGAGAAGAGACTGCTCTGTGTATTTAATGATTCAAGGTAGGCAGCCCTAATCTGAAAAGCAAGACCCCCAAATCTGAAATGTTTTGAGCACAGACGTGATGTTAAGAAGATTTGGGAATTTGGATCTGTGGGTTTGGGGTTTTCAGATTAAAAATGCTCAACAAGTAAAACAAATATATAAATACCAAAAAACCCCCATCAAATCTAGAATTTTGGATTCCAAACATTGTTTGGATTACTTCAAGAGTAAACATATTTACTATACATATTTAAAAGTTAACATGTATGGGTATGTTGCCTGTATGTATGTCTCTGTGTACTTGCATGCCTGGTGCCTGCAGAGGCCAGGGGGTACAGATGGTTGTGAGCCACCACATGGGTACTGGGAACTGAACTCAGGTCCTCTGGAAGATCAACAAGCTCTCTTAACCATTGAGTCATCTCTCCAGCCCTATAACTCCATATCTTTCAAACGATTCCTTCTCCTTTAGGTTTGTACCCATCAGCATCGGCGGATGAACTCACGTGGGGAGGTGAGAGGCGTAAGATGCGGTAAGACTGAGAGCGGCTGCTCTGAAGGATGCTCCGTGATCCCTACATGTCACCGGGGATGCCAGGGCATGACCTGGGTATCTGCTGACCTCCTTACCTCCTGCCCTAACATCACCTCTCTGTAGGCTTCACCAAAATCCACTACAACTGCACAACACCTCATTCTTTTTTTTTTTTTTTTTTTTTTGGTTTTTNTTTGGTCCTACGAGCAACCATGTATATCAGCCAGGACTTCCAGGCTTGGTGCATCTTCTGCTTTCTATCTAAAGACATCAAAGAGAGACCTTCTTTATTTTTTTTTTGGTTTTTCGAGACAGGGTTTCTCTGTGGCTTTGGAGCCTGTCCTGGAACTAGGTCTGTAGACCAGGCTGGTCTCGAACTCACAGAGATCCACCTGCCTCTGCCTCCCGAGTGCTGGGATTAAAGGCGTGCGCCACCATCGCCCGGCTTGCACAACACCTCATGATGCCCCAAGGCACATCCTGTATGCCTGGCTCTACCTGCACCTTTCTTCCTTTATCCCCGAGAGGCTAACCCTTGGCAGCTGGGCAGCGCCCCTGGCTCCCCAGCACCAGGGATTTCCTTAATGGGGCTACAGCCAAACGTGGTTCCTCCTCGGATTCCCAGCACCCAGTACAGGGCCTGGCCCAGCACCAAAGCTGACTGGAAAACGTGAATGCTGGTCACAGGGAGACCTCTAAGTTCCCTTCCCTCACCTCCAACAGGACTGTTACAATGATAACAGATGGCTATGAGGAACTTCACACACTGTAGAGGGCTGTGGTATCTGCAGACACATCAGTCTGAGAACTTAGGGATGGGGAGGCAGACAGCCCCTGAGAAAAGCTCCCTCCCAGAGTCATCAATAACCTCCAATGTATTTGGTAGTGGAGGCGCACGCCTTTAATCCCAGCACTCGGGAGACAGAGGCAGGCGGATCTCTGTGAGTTTGAGGCCAGCCTGGTCTATAGCTAGCATGAGTTCCAGGACAGCCGGCAATACACAGAGAAACCTTGTCTTGACAACAAAAACAAAACAAAACAAAACACCCTCCAACACTACCCACTTCAAGTGCGTGTCTGTATGTGTGAGCCACACCGTGCAGACAGGGTGCCCTACAGCGCCCTCTGGTGTTGAGTTTCCTAAGCACGTCTCAGACTAAAGAACCTGACCACATTTCCCCTTGGGCGGCACCTGTCTACGCTGGGCTTAGGGGTCAAGAGCCCAGGAAGAGTGACACTGCCCAGGACCTGTGTGTAGTGTGAACAAGTGTGAAAGAGAGTGTGAAGAACAAGAGACAGGCAGGAGCCGCTCAGATGTCTGCCTTAGATCCCAAGGGCTACCTTAGGGCACTTCTGAGCAACCCTGGTGAAAGGCCAGGGTGGGGGTCGCCAGGGGGATTCCCTGTGTCTCCACTAGCAGCCCCCACTGTGGTATTCCTCGAGTCTCAGCTTCTGGTTTCACAGGTCTCAGATTCCCCAGGTCTCAGACACAGAGACTAGAGAGGTCAGGCAGTCATGTACCATCCAACCACCCCTGTGTGCCCAGGACGGGCACCACTGCTTGGGCCAGGGCAAGAGAACTCTGGTCCCCCATTCTCTAGGCACAGTGTGATGATGAGATGTCCCCCTTCCGCTGGGACATCTGAGCCTAATAGTAATAAGAGAAAACTCGGTCCTTTACCACTCTCTGGGGCCAAGAGCCTGGCCTGGCACCTGCCGATCCCTCCCCAACACCTACTGCCGTCAGCATTGGCCGGCTGTGCAGTCGCGGGCAATGCTGTTTACCTCTCTGAACCTTAAGTTCTTGTTCAGTGAATAACTCTCCCAACCCTTCTCCCAAGATAATCTACAGTGTCTGTAAGAAGCTATTGACATACAAGTGACTTCCGGGGTCTTAGCTTCCCCGACATTCTCCGTGTGACCTTTCCGGCACTGTAAGGGAGGCACTGCTGACTACCAGGTAGAAAACAACCCAGAGAGGCTGCCTGGGGCCACACAGCCAGTCACTGGCAGGCAGAACAGGGCCCTGGAGCTATAGACACTGACTCTCTGCCAGGCAGAGGCTCCAGAACAGCAGGACTCCTGTTCCCACGATTCTCAGTGGTTTCCGTGGCGAATGGGTCATATCCACTGCAGTTCACAGGGGCTGGAAGCTGGATTCCTCTCCTGGACTTTGCCTTTCTAAAAGGCCAGCTTCAAGGCTAACTGGATAAAATGGAAGGAGGTAGTTTGGGGGGGGGCATGTGGGAACACAGAGGCTCCCGAACCAGGGGGGACAGCATAGGGAAATGCCTCTGGACCCCATGAGACATGGGAGCCAGGTGACAGAAGCCGAGGGGAGAATTCCAGAGTTCTCTGAAGCTAGGGACATCTGCAGGCCAACCCACGGAGCCCTCTGACACCTCTCTCTGTAGGAAGCCATCCTAATACAATCGGGTCCTCAAAAGAGGTGGAAGAACGTATTTTCCAAGCCCTTCACAGGAGGTCACAGCTGCCGGATCAAAGGTCCAGGGGCTCAGAACCCTATTCCCAGGCCACCCCTCCATATTTCAGGATGAAGGCCTCCTCCCATGGGCCTCAATTGTCCCTATCCAAAAATGAGTGGATGAGGTGGGCTCTAAGATGCCGGTTTCCCCAGCTACCGCAATGCCAGGGTTAGAGGGCTCAGTTCTGAAGAGATGACAGAAAACCAGGGACTAACCTGGAAGGCCAAGCCCAGGAGAGGGTCAGGGACTCCTAGAGGACACACCCAAGCAGTGACCAAGACCAGTCTAAACCGGTGTCAGCCTCGCCCACTCCACTCCCCAAGCAAGGTCTCAGCTTGCTCTTTCATACCCCAGAGGCTGGATTGGTCCCTGCAGGGCAGCCAGGAGACCTAAGACAGATGAAACCCCATCCTGACATGGGACCTCACTGCTCAATCATCCTGAAGGTTGGCAGGATGGAGTTCCTCATAACTGCGAGGTCCCCACAGGGAATGCTTCTGATGTGGGCTTGCAGCAAGAGATACAAACCACATCACAGAGGCACACCATACTGCAGAAGTGAGGGCATGAAGTCTTTATTTGGGGACATGTGACAAGCAGGGCAGAGACACTCAAGCCCCCCACAGGGAATACGGGGTGAGACAGAATTGGGGGACAGGCAGCGTGAACCAAGGGGGTCTTGAGAGCTGTAGGGAGAGGTCAGAAAGGTGGGGCCCCTGTCTAGGTATGGCTCCCTAGAGTCAGCAGCGTCTAGAAGGCACTAGCAGGTGCTTCTGCAAGCAATAGCCACCAGAGCCAGCAACACAGCCTATCTCCTGCCTCCAGAATCCCGACCCTGAGCTGGAGCTTGCGCTCCTGGCAATCCACCCACTGGACGGATCCTACCTTCAGATCTCCATGCATTGGCATCTCAGATGAGGCAGCCTTGAGGCAGAGTGGGTGGCACCACTGAGGTGCCTCTGACTGATGCCAGGTGGCAGGTGAGGCTTCTCCTTAAAAGGAGGCTCTCGGCATGCACAGGGTGGAGGAAATGAGGCTTGGGGCAGGACGGAGTCTGCCGATACCAGTGCCTCTGTTTCCCTGCCAGTTTGGGGAGTGGGTTTACCTGGATAGCCTCTGAAGCCAGTCCAGTATTAGACATCACACCTGGAGGTATTCAACCCACTTCAGACATCAGACATCATAGCTGCCCCAAAGCCTTACCCATGTGCCTCCACTCTGGTAGAACCCCCAGTAAACGCCCAGAGAAATTACAGCAGGACACAGCACCTGTGTTCCTGATCAGAGACCTGCAAAGGCCAGCCGTCCTACTGGGGACATCAGTGTTTCTGGCTCAGAGCCCTGGACCCCCCAACTCAGTTCTCTGCTTCCCCATTTGAGCCTTAGTCTCCCAGTTCAGGAAGCCCTGCACCAAGGAGGACGCAGACAGGGTCAACTCCACCAAGCCCAGGACCTAGTACCAACTGCTCAACAACTAAGCTAAAGTCAGCCTTATTCCTGACTAGTGTTAGCCCTCGGGCACACATCCATACAAACATAGCATGCTATCTCTCAACATATACATATGTGTGGGTAGTTAGAGCTGGGTCAGCTTCTACATCCTCTTTCCCTTCTCCACAGCAACCCGGGTGAGACCTGCAAAGCCAGCCACCCTCTGCCAGACAGACCAAGCCCTGCCGTCATCCTGCCCAGTGTCTGGAAGCCCTTAAGGTCACAGCAGGCTGGTGTTGACACTGGAAAAAGCACCTTCCCGCCGCCAGAGTGCCACTGGGCATCCATCTCCTGGTGCCAGCTTTAGCCGGCAGGCAAATGCCTTCTTGCCAGGTTCCCCAGAAGGCAGTTCCTGTCACGTCTCAGTCTTCCACCCCTGTAGGAAATCCAGTGGTTGGTTATTTGGATCTCTTGGTTAGCCTTTTGGCCTCTCAGTCCCTCTCTGTCCACCACAATGAAGCAGAGATGGCAGGTGCCCAAGAAGTCCATCCATCTGGCCACACGAACCCAAAAGGCGTTTATTGTCTACAGTAGCAGTGTCCAGCGTCTAGACTACGGAGCCATGGGTCATCCCTGTGAGCCGCAGTACTAGCACCAGGAAAGGGGGCCACGTAGGACTCAGGGGACCTCTAGCCAAGCCAAGCACAGAAGGAGCAGTTAGAAGAATGTCCCCAAAATATACATGTGGCAGGAGGTTCGGGCAAGAGGGAATTGTGGGCCAGAGGCAGGGTAGCCAGGGCTGTCGTCAGAGCTGGTTGAACACCACAGAGGCCTTGAGGTTGGCGGGCTCCACGCCCTCGCCGAAGGTAATAAGGAAATACATGACCTTGCGGATTTTGGCCAGGTCAGACAGGCGCTCCCCAAACTCCAGGGCATCGGCCTCATTCCAATCCATGACGTCGGAGTCTTCCTTGCGCCAGAAGATGGCAGCAGGGTCCAGCAGCTGGCGTGTCATGAGGTTGGTGAGGTCAGGCGTCCAGTTCTGCGAGGTGCCCGTGATGGTGACCTTGCCCGGCTTATCCAGGACCACATCCCAGCGGTCAAACTGCAGCTTCTGTTGCTGGATGAAGTCGAGACGGTACACAGATTCGGCCGGCCGGAGCAGCTTCTCGCCATCCTGCCGCTTCTCCCCACGCTGTTTCAGGCTCTCGACTCGGAGTCGCATCTGCTTGGTCAGGTCCTGGTCTAGAACCAGAGGCATGTCCAGCTGCTGCTTCGGTGGCCCGTCCTCTGCCATGGCCCAGACGCTACAGGTGTTGCCACTGCCGCCTCTCCCGCCGATGTCAGGGAACCAAGTGGGTTGGAGCCTCAGGTGCCAAGAGAGGAGGCCCCCTGAAGGCCCGCCTCCCTTCCCAGCCTCTCCTTTTTGGCCACGGGCCCTTTCTGGCCCCACCCAGTTCTCAGAATGGGGACGCAGAGGGGAGTGTGTGTCCAGCTGCCTCCTCCTTTCTGCTCCTTGCAGAGGTGGTAACGCCGCCGTGCCGTAGGCAGGCTGGAGGGTGACAGGCTCCTTAGGGACCGGAGCACTGATGTCAACTGCTGTGGCAATCACCTTGACTACAGTAGGAGCAACAAGCCGGAGGCTTGCTTGTTTGTGAAGGAGGGAGCGCTGCATGGGGCTGTTGGGAGAGAAGTGAGGGGTACAGACACAGGGAGGTAACTCGGGAAAGGGGACAGGGCAGCACCAAGGTGAACCTGTCCGTCACTGGTTTCCTGGCCAGCTTGGGGCCACCGGTGCCTCATCCTCTCTTCGTTCTCTCTGAGCCACCTGCCAAGTCCTGTCAATTCTGCTTCCCAAATGCCCTGGGCGTCCTCCTCTCCTTTAGCATCACTAGGACCCAACCCGGCTGAACCTGCAACTCTCAAATCCCAAATCACCTGCCAGACAGCTGCCTGGCTCTGCTCCTGGAAGCCGTGGTTCAATCCATCTTACCACATACTACGCCACATAGCCACAGGCCCGGCTCTCACTTCCACCCGAATCCCACCAGGCCTACCGCCTACACTGATCCTCTGCCTCCCCTAGGAGACACCTTCCCCAGGCCAGGGAGCAATCGGAGGCAGAGCCCAGCCAGTGTGTGCGGACAGATGGTGTGTCTGGAGACGGAAGTGTGTCTGGGCAGTGGCGATAGAGAGATGTGGTTGTTACAGGATGCCACACACAGGAAAGAGGCGGGCGGGGGGGGGGCAAGGTGTCGTAACTGGAAATGATCAGAAGGGTTTAGGGGACAGAAGCACACTGCATGGCTAGATGGAGGCCAAGTGAACCAGCGGGTTGATAATTAGCACAGCTCACTTGTTATGTTTGCTTGATTGCTTATTTGTCTTTGAGACAAGGTCTCACCGTGTAGCTATCCAGGCTGCCCTCAAACTCCCAGCAATCCTCCTGCTTGGGTCTCCCAAGTGCTGGGTTCACAGGTGTGAGCCATCACGGCAAGTGCTTTTCATTTGGGTTGTTTTTTTTTTTTTTTTCCGGCAATACAGGGAACTGAACCCAAAGCTTCTTTCACCGAACTACAGCCCCTAAATCTGATCCTTTTACTTGAAGACAGGATCTCAGTGGGTCAACCTCACAATCCTCCTGCCTCAGCCTCGCCATTGGGGATCTTAGGATGAAGGAGGAGGCGTCCAGGGTATCCTTGACAGAGCCCTTGCCTAGCACGGACAGACCCTGTATTCAGTTCCCAGCACTGGGAAAAACAAACTGGGGCCACCAGCAGCAATCCCAGAAACCAGTATGGTAAGAGCTGAATCAAGCTGCCTGCTCGCTCGCCAGCCTTCAGGGCGATATGGCTGAGAGGTACAGAGTGAGGGGCTTCAACTTCCTCTCTGAAGAGGAAGGCCTTCTGCGCTTCCAGAGTGACATTCTGACCTTAAATTATTTTCATTCCATTTGTGTATGCATCATGCGTGCAGGTGTGTGTGTGTGCGTGCATGTGTGTGTGTGTGTGTGTGTGTAAATGCCATAGGTCATATATGGAGGTCAGGGACAATTTGAAGGAGCTGGTTCTCTCCACCCACCATATGGGTTCCAGGATTGAACCCCGATTGTTAGTTGGCAAGCACCTTTACCCACAAAGCCACACGGCAAGCCCAGTTCGTATTTGTGTTTGCGTCAGTGCTTGAAAGAGTGTGCGTGCATGCGTGTGAACAAGAGAAAGTGTGAGGTATGTGAGCCAACGTGCATGAGTGGGGGTGTGAACGCGAGCTTTGCCCGGGGCTGGCCGGTGCCTGCCCACTGAACTGGATCCCAGCCCTGATTTTGTTTGTTTTGTGTCTCCCCTGGACTGGACACCCTGGCAGGGCCATGTCTGTCTTGTTCATCTCTGTAAGTGAGAACATGGCTTCCGTGCTCAGGGGATGTTCCGGAAGCTAAGTGAATGGCAGGAATGCTGAACGCTGAATGAATGAATGAATGAATGAATGAATGAATGGCAACGACAAAAGGTGACCTAGAAGCCTAGAAGGCGAGGTAGAGACCGGTCTCAGCACACCAGGGAAGCTGTGGGTTCAGTAACAAGTGGCTGAAGGTGAGGACGGACAGAGCTGACGCCAGAGTGTCGGGGCCGAGGGCAGAGGGCAGGTGTTAACCTCACAGACCTAACGATGTCCAGAAAGGCTGAGAAATCAGAGGGCTGGCAAGGACAGCGTGCCAGAGGCTGAGGCTGAGGAAGCTGGCATCTGTACAGACACACTCAGGCTTCTACATCCCGGAGGAAGGCGGGGTGGGGGTGGGGACCCAGGGCCACAGAACCGCTAGAGCGGGCTGGTCTGCTGTGGGGAGGAGGGTGCACCTTGCAGGCAGTCAGGGGTGAAGGAAGCTATGACAGCTGTAATTGGGGACCCACAGACGGGCAGGCGGGAGGAGCCAGCAAAGAACTGTGTGATACATGTTTGTGGCCAGAGAGGGAAGGAGGTGGACGCAGGAGAGAAAGGCCGCTCTGAAGGGGCCCCTGTGGCTGCAGAAAACAAAGGGAGCACCCCAGACAACCTCCTCAGCCCCAGCAGAGAAGAGGATGAGGAGACCCTAACACGGCTGCCTCTGGGTGGAGAAAGGAGCGTGGGCCTTACGGGCATTTCATATGTTCAGTCCCCAGAACATACAGTATACATAGGACACGGCTAAGTCCTCCTGTGCCTTTCACATGTTCAGTCCCCAGAACATACAGTGTACCCGGGACACGGCTAAGTCCTCCATTTATTACTTACTTTTTTCAATTTTTAAAATTTTATCTGCATTGGTGCTTGGCCTGTATGTCTGTGTGAGGGTGATGGATCACGGAGGTACACACAGTTGTCAGCTGCCACGCCTGGGATTGGAACCCAGGTCCTCCAGAAGAGCAGGCAGGGCTCCTAACCACTGGGCCATCTCTCCACCGCCCCCATTCATCACTTCCTAATGAACTGATTCATAACTGAGGCATGGGCTGGGACAGAGTGGGAGACATTCGGTTTATCATTGTTGTTGTTTCATTGTTGCTGAGACAGGGTTTAATGAATAGCCCAGGTGGGCCTTGAATGCAAGGTCTCCCCGCTGCAATCCGGGAAAACTGGGAAACATTTAAACTGGCAACAAAATTTGCCTGGTCCCAGCACCTTCTGCTCTGCCCAGCACTGCCCAGGACTAACAACCCCTGCCTCACTCGCTGCCCCAACACTCTTGCTTTGCATGATGGCCACTTCTGTCTTTACTGCCCCTGGGTCCTGGGCAGCTAAGAGCAGGCAGCAGGCCCATGCGAGGCCACCTCCCAAAGAACCTTGGATCTGACCTAAGCTGAGCCCCGTGACAAGTATTTAACCTAACCATATCCTACTTGTGGGTTCAGGGAGCCTGGTCACCTCAGACCCACCGTCTGACTTAGGGAACAAACTCCTGAGCTAGAGGAGGCCATACTGACCCACATGAGAGGGAGCCCTGTGGAGCAGATGATTGGGTGGGACGCACGAGGGAAGGGTGGGAGAGAAGCTGTGTAAGCAAGGGCACTCCTAAATGCCCAGCATTTGTCTACGGGGCCCGGAAAGCCAGGCTGACACGGAAGCCAACGTCAGTGACTAGCAACCAGAACAGACTCAGCCTTACAGGCTTGGAATCCTGTGCCCATCAGCCCCAGACCACCCTGAGGTCTTGTAAGAAAGGAACGGCTTCCTAGAGGAAGGGCAGGAGTGCCCCCAGGCAAGGAACATCAGCATCTGGTTCTCAGCACTGGGAGAGTAGAGGTGGGCGGGGTTTGGGTAGAGGTGGGCGGGGTTTGGGGCACAACTCCCCCTGCTGCTCTTCCAGGGGAAAAAACAGACGAAGGTCAGGGAGGCTCTGCGGGGCAACAGGACAGAACAAGAGGGTGACAACAAACAGGGACCAGTCAGTGGGGACCGCAGGGGATGTAAGGCACGGTAATGAGCTCCCCAGGGCCTCCGCGCATGAACCAGGGACCTGTCAGCACAGCAGCTCCCGGAGGTGGACCGCAATCAGCCTAGCGCATCCAACCCTGGCCCAGCCTCCCCCACCGCCAAACTCCTGGAGGTCAGCCTGGGAGGCCACCAGGGTCGGGGTCTCGGTCCTGCAGAAGGTGGCGGTTCCACACTGATGAGAAGCACGCCACCTTCTCCATCAGCTAGATGGGGAGCAGAGCCTCGAGGCCAAGTCATTGAAACAGCAAGGTGAGGATCTGCCTTGGCAATGCATTGCCAGACCTGGTTAGGTTCCAGTCCATCAAGGGACCCGCGGGAAATGGACAGCAAGGTCAGCTTCAGAGTCACAGGGCTGTCCTGGGTTTAAGGTGGGGCAGCCCTCTGTTCCCCAACCTTTGCTCATCACACCAGACTCAGCAAGAAGGGGCAGACTGGGCCAGCTCTGCCTCTGGGGAGCTCACCTCTAGAGGGGAGACTCGGATAAACAGGCAATTACAGGGCAGGGTGGAGCAACACACAGGGCCCACATGCCCCTGCAAGCCAAGGCCGTGCAGCCCTTGCTCAGAGTCGGGGATGGAGGTTGCTGTGCTGAGGACCAGTCCTCCATCCGGATGATGGATGGTTCCGGGCTGAGTTCTCTCCAGCCCTCGACACCCACACAGACACACCCTTCTTCGCCCTCCAGTCTGAGGCTGTCCAGCATAGACTCCCACCCCTGTACGCCATAGCAGTGGGCTCTGAGTACCAAAGGCCCACAGTGTGCAGGGGCCGTGACCCTGACAGGGACACCTACTGGGTGGCTAGGGGCCCACACTCTCCCGAAGACAGGAGAGGAGGATAGAGGCCCTGCAAAGGCCTGGGTGTTGGCTAAGGACACAGCTCCCTCTGGCGGCTGACGGATGCCTGGGAAATCAAGAAAAAAAACGTATCCTATTCTTGCGCCCTGTTTCAATTACTTGTTTGTTTGTTTGTTTATTTATATGGAGGTAGGACGATAACTTGTGGGAGTCTATTCTCTTATTCCACCATGGGGGTCATAGGGATCAAACTCAGGCTTGAAGGATTTGCCTACTGAGCCATCTCCCCTGCCTGGAACACCTAGAACACATTTATGTTTAGGGATAATAATTATTGCAAAATAGGTCAGTGTGGCCATCACTGACTGAGAGCTACCCTGCCAGGGGTCCTATAAGAACAGTGTCTAGCCAGGCAGTGGTGGCACACACCTTTAATCCCAGCACTCGGGAGGCAGAGGCAGGCAGATCTCTGTGAGTTCGAGGCCAGCCTGGTTTACAAGAGCTAGTTCCAGGACAGGAACCAAAAGCTACGGAGAAACCCTGTCTCGAAAAAAAAAAAAAAGAAGAACAGTGTCTCTTCCTCCTCCTACCCCTCCTTCTCCTCCTCCTCCTTCTTCTTCATGGCTTTCAAACAGGGTCTCACACATCCCGACTAGTCCTGAATTCACTATGTAACTGAAAATGGCCTCCCCTCCTTGGGAAAGTGGTTCCAAGTGTTATATTTAAGGTCTTCTGCTGAGCATTGCCAAGAAGGTTCAAGAGGCAGGCCCGGGACCCATTCCATCAATCCCCAGACCTTGGCCCAGAACATCAACAGCATGAATCTGGAAATCACTAAACGTGGAGCTGTCTAGACCACACTCTGATGAACAACTGAGAAAACTGAGGCCCAGGAAAAGCCAGCAACTGGCCTGTGTCACACAGCAGTTACTGAGCACTAAGTGGTATCTCTACACCGAGGATAACACAGGCAGTATGCACACTTCACAGGGGTAGCCTCTGCTCCACGGTCCCTTGTCCCTCAGCAGTTGGAGAGGGGACACATCAGAGTCACCTTGGGAATTACCCTGAGGATCCCAGGCTGAACAGGCGAGGGAAGGCCAGTCTGCTAACTGAGGCCCAGCCCAACGCAGCAGCAGGCTTTCAGGAAGCCCCACAAGCCTCCCTGATGCCATGTTTTCCTGGCAGCGAGCGCCACAGGCTGATAGCCCCTGCAGCTGCCGCTCCCCAGACCTTACCTTTTGCCAGAGGGACTCTCGGGAGGCCAGTGACGAGCAGGCGGCCACAAACCAGCAGTTGCCCACCTGGCCCTGGTGCAGGTCATGAGAGCTGATGCCATCTACGAAGAGGCGGGGATCATCGCAGATATCCTGCAGGGAGGGAGGGAAGAACATGAGAACCTGGGGGCATAGGTGCCTCTCTGCCCTCTCTCCCACATGGCCAACCATATCCCAAAGTCCTGCCTGGACTGTGTCTCCCTCCTCGGCCAGAGGGCATTTCCACTACAGTGAGCTGACAGATAACAGCTGAAGAAAGATTCAGCTTGCTGGACCCTGGGCCAACACCTTCTTCTTGCCTTGAGTAGATCTCCCCGTGCAGCCGGCCCTCAAGGCCAGTCGCAAAGCAATCAAATGACAAGCCCCAAAAGGACTAACGCTGAGTACAAAATGAGGACGTTCAGGCGGTGATGGGGTTGCTACTCCATTCTAAGGACGAGGAACAGAAGCTCAAAAGACAGGCAGGACTTGTTGAAAAGCAGGACATATGAATGCCAGCGTGGGGCAGAAATTCTGTTAATTTTCCATGGAGATACACAGGCATGGCCACGGGGACACAGGAGACGCTAGGAACCAGGTGGGGGCAGCTGCCAGGCAGAGTCATGTCTGGCAGGACTCAGGCCCTACCCGTCCTCGTTCCTGGGTCTTGGTCTAATTTTCCAATCTCTCCTCTCTTCGCGGTTGCCCTTAAAGACCCAAGGCAGGGCTATAGAGTGGAAAAAGTGCAGCTTTGGCTTCTGCACCAAGAGACACACACTGAAAGCATAGCTTCCTGTCTCCTACAGAGAAGACACCCTGCCCAGGCTAGAGCCAGATGTGGGTGGATCTCTGAGGGGGCAGATAGCACCACAGTATGCCCAGCCCAGGAAAGCAGCTAGGCACACCATCAAAGCCTCCTCAGAGACTAATGAGAAGACCTGAGCTGAGGGGGCAAGAAGGCAGGGAGGGAGGGGAGGCATAGCACTGAGACACAGCCTTATAACTCAGACAACCCCCACTGGCCCCGAGAACCCAGCACTGTGCCCACTTCACAGATGAGAGGTTGAGGACGATGCCCGTGATACAGCTATTTCCTGGGCTTGACAAGATCGTCTCCATTTTGAAGCCAAGCAGCTGTGATGACCTGTGAGCTAAATCAGGCTGATGAGTATCCCCATGGGAGGCCAGCAGAAGAGAGGCTAGAAGACCCTGAGAAGTCATCACATGACCCTCATGAGGCTCCCCACCCCTGAGTCTGTAATTGCTATGCCCTAAGGTAACAGTCCACTGGGTGTGGGATTTCCTGGGGGTGTAGCCGCCTATGACCTAACCCACCCCATAACTCCATTAAGTTCACTGGGTTCACAGGGTTTGGCTTGGACAAAACCCTCTCTTTGATCTGCCCATGCCCTGTCTATCTTGGGTAAAGAGAAGTTTCTTCACGTCTCTCAGAGAAAGTCACACACCCAGTGGTACCTACAGAGAACAGTCTGAACCAAAAATGAGCCGGGTGGAGCATCCCTGGTTTGGGGAGTGACATGCCTCCTAACTGATGTGACGGTTTCATGGGCCCTCAGACTTAACAACCAAGCCTGAGCTTTCTGTGCCCAGGGAAAATCAGGCTGAGGCATACCCTGAGGGGAGATTCCAGAGTAACCAACTTTTGTGTGGCAAAAAGTTAAAAATTGTTTAATTTTTAAATTTTTTTGGTTTTGGTTTTTCTAGACAGGGTTTCTCTGTGTAGCCCTGGCTGTCTTGGAACTCACTGTACAGACCAGGCTGTCCTCAAATTCAGAGACCCACCTGCCTCTGCCTCCTGAGTGCTGGAATTAAAGGCATGAGACACCACCACTCGGCTAATTTTTAATTCTTAATTCTATTTTAGATTTTAAGAAGGCTGTGGTGGCAGCCCCTGGGCTCTGGTTAGGACAAGGCGAGCAGCTGAGGCTGAGCCCAGAGGAAAACGGCCAGCCAAGAGGATGAGAAAGTCAGTGTTAGGGAGCCCCCACCCCCCGGAAGGCTTCAAGCCCAAACAATTGTTTCCCAAAGGGGTGAAGGGTGGGGAGGTGCAGGTGATCACTGCTGCACCCAGTGCTGCAGGGGGAAGGGGCTGCTTGGCGTGGGAATTCCCTGCAGGTAAGGGCTAGGCGGAGGGACCTGAGACCCCACAGTGAACTGTGGGTCTTTTGCTCCCCTGCTGAGACGCAGAACACCAGAGCTTTGATGGAGTCACACAGGCCTTGATTCATGGCAACCTCTGAAAACACGGGGGTGGGAGTAATGGATGAATCAGGAAATGGAGCCATGTAGATGAAAAATATTGAGAGTAATGTCGTCCTGAGTGGGCTGTGATTAACACCCGCTCCAGACTGTAAGGAGGCAGGGCTGGGCGTATTGCTGGGATACACCCTGAAATGAGGATCATATACAGTGGAGAGATCATTCACTAAATTAACCTGAAGCCATTTCAGTAGCCAGGCGGGGCAGGTAAAAACAAAACAAAACAAGGCAGATAGAGCGCCCATTCCAATAACCCATTAGTTTAGTATCCATCCTGTAGGAGCATGTGTGGTGCACATGTGTGATGAAGCACATGTGTGCACGGGTACACGTGTGGAGGTCAGAAGACAACTTCCATAGAGTCAGTTTTCTCCTTCCACCTTTAAACGGCACTGGAATCAACCCAGGCCCGGACTCAAATAACAGTCGCCTGATCAGCTGAACCACCCCGCTGGTCCCCTGGCCTTGTCCTCTCCATCCTTGCCCTTTTGAAGGAACCATCATCATACATGTGGTGGCACCTCTTCACACTGCCGGCCCTTCACACTGCCGGCCCTTCACACTGCCGGCCCTTCACACTGAAAGCCCTTCACACTGAAGGCCCCTTCACACTGACGGCCCTTCACACTGAAAGCCCTTCACACTGACGGCCCCTTCACACTGAAAGCCCTTCACACTGAAAGCCCTTCACACTGAAAGCCCTTCACACTGACGGCCCTTCACACTGACGGCCCTTCACACTGAAAGCCCTTCACACTGACGGCCCCTTCACACTGAAAGCCCTTCACACTGACGGCCCTTCACACTGAAAGCCCTTCACACTGACGGCTCTTCACACTGGCAGCCCAGGAGGCTTCCGTTAATTTGTTTGGCTCTGGTCTTTAACATTCCTATGGCTGATGAGCCCCCAGGGCAATTGGCATTTACTTGGAATGGACGCAGTAGACCTTCAAGAGGGCCTGCCAACCTCATAAAAGATCCCATTATAGTGCAATTGCCTCTAAATGTGTCACAGACTTAGAGACATCCGATAGCTGGCCATGTCCCTCGGCAGGACAGAGGGCGGGAAATCGGATGCCCAGGGGACCAGGCACCGTGTTGGAGCCCCTCTTTCCTCCCACCCTGAGATCCTCATCACTACTACAAAACAGTTAACTGGGGTGGGACTTCTTGGTGGCATAGCCACCAGTAAGTGTCCCCATAAGCTCAAACTCATTGGCTCCCCCAGGGTGGCCTAAGGCAGATCCCTTCCTTTGGTAGTCAGTGCCCTCTCTGTCTTTCCAGGGAAAGTCATATTTCAATGTCCCAGGCGTATCGTGGGAGCTAGAGCGGACAGTCTCTGCCTGTTTCGGAGTCTCCAGGTCTGTTCCTAGGCTCAAGCTGTCACAACACAGCAGCAGAAACCCTTCCACAGACGGCCAGCAGAGGGCAGGAGAGCCTGGGAGGCAGACCTCAGTTCCTGCACGCCTGCGGCTGGAGACGCAAACAGAAGCCAATGCTCATCCTCTCTGTTCCTCCAGGTCCTCAAACGCTGGCCCTAAAGTGTATGCATGGCCTCCATGGAGGCGGTGGAGCAGTCTGCCAGGGAGAATGGGATAGTGGGACCTCAGGACAGTGTTTGGGACTCGATTGCTCAGAAAAAGAAAAAAAGCCAGGAAAAGAAAGGGTAATTCCTCTGAGGGCACTAACTGAATCGGACGCCTGGACCACTTCTAGCTGTGGCTACAGGGGAGGCAGGGGCAAGCTGCATGGTGGCTTCTCCAAGGCACAGCTGTGTATCCTGCCGTCTCTGATCAGAGGAAACCCAGCCAGGAGGCCTGTTTCTCGTCCCCAAGACCACTCTCAGGAAGCTCTGGGTGCCGCCCCGCTTCCTCCTAATCTCGTTTTCCAGCCAAATGTACCCATCCAGCGTCCCAGACAGAGACAGGGCGATGTCTCCTCACAGAGCGCAGCTCCGAAAAGGGGCAGGGGCGGGGCCTCTCATCTAGCGAAAGGGGTGCAGGGGCGG